TCCGGGCTTTCTTGAGCTCCTCATTCATGGACAAGAGGTCGCGAACTCTGCAGTACTTTCTCTCATCGCGTTTCACGCAATGCAACACATCTTCGACCGAAATCTTGCCATTTTTGCCCACGTCTTGCGCTTTGAGTGAAATGTCTTGAATGAATTGAATGACGAGGTCTTCGAGCATATCGACGGCTTCGGTGAAGGGGTTGTGATCGTCGCCGAAGCCATACATCATACACCGCAACTCCTTCCCAAACAACCGCCTCCTCTTCCCATCCCTCTCGCCGTCCATCGTCTCCACTGATGTCGACTCGTTGTCCATCTCTTGTAACTCTTGACTCGCGTTCAGTTGCGACTGCGAACACATGATTGGCCGGTTGTGGACACTATTGGATCAGTTGTGGTGATGAGACAAACAGTGAAATACGCAAACAGTTGTTGTGTTGTGTTTTGTTTGAGTCTTTGTAAACACTTGTCATTCAAACACTCATTCATTGGTTGTCCTATAATTGGCTCTCAATTCAAACATTCAATTCATTCATTCATTTATTCACAAAATGTTATATTTATTTAAATTATTTATTCATTTACAGTATATGATTAACACATAAATGTTTGGCATTTTATAAACTGTTAAATTACTTAAATTATATATTGCATGTTAATGAAATATTTTACTTTATTTTTATAATTTAGATTATTTAAAAATAAATCATGTAATTAACTGTAAAAGTTTTTAATTAGTTTAAAGTTTGTAATTATAGTACAGAATCAGTTTAAATGACATAACAGATAATAAGTTGATTAGCAAACCATAACCATATGGTTTGCACAGTCGGAGCGCTCTGTGTCTCCAAATCCGTAGTAAAATTTGTGATGAATTTTGCCGACAACTTGTGTCTCGGTTTTGCCGAAATGTAAATCACATTTTCCCACATAAATAGGATTGGAGTTCAAGTCGTGTCCGCCGATGAACGCCCGGTCGGGCACAGCGTCTCCGCCATGCCTTTCCACCCAATCGTAATTATGTCCGATCAGTACCTCATAATCGGATTTGGTTGAGAAGGCCTTCCCTCCCATCGTTACAACACATCCTATATTTTCATTAGCCTTTCCGGGGAGTAAATCGTCGTCACGTTTATGTCTACAGATATACAACGGCTTTGTGTCGATATCGAAACCGCCAACGATTGCATTCTTTGGTATTTTAGTTCCCGTTATTTTGATCCATTCGAGAGAACAATTCACTATTCATAGAGTTATTTGAGTTATTTCTTGTGATTTTATTTATAGTTTTAATTAACATTAAAGGATTATTACCTTTCTTTGTATTGTCTTCAATGGTCAGAATGAATGTCCGGATCTGTTGTGAACTCAACTGGACTTTAGAAATATCATTGAAGTGTTGGTTGGAATTGAATTGAATGTCATTCAAAGGGTTTTTGGATTTCCACTGTAAGCGACTCTTTTGCGATTCTGAGAGCTCTTGATTTGCGCTTAAAGTCATTTCTCTCACTTCTTTAATCTTAATGTCTTTAAACATATTTTTCAAATCTATTTCGACGTCTTTTGAAAGTTCATTGTTGTCTTCCTTTTGGTAAAAATGCTCTAAACGTAAGAGCAGTTCATTTTGTGTCCACTTTTCTAATGTCAATAAATGGACATTTTGTGGCAATTCTTGATTTAATGCAGAATAAGATGTCTTATATTTATTCCGATATTCGGCTTGAGTTTGAGTTAACGGCGAGAATGTAATCAATGGAGACATGAATAATCTTTGATCCAAATTGCGAAACAGTTTTGACGATTCATTAATTGGTTTAAAGAATATGAAGTGCTTTCCGCTGACGACCAGTCCTTTCCCGTCGACACCCGTCTCGTTAAGACTCGTTCGCGTATCAGTTAATAGTCTTCTGTGAACCATAAGCTCTATTTGGCCGTCCATTTCACTCGACCCTCCCTGTGCTCTATCGGTCAATACTGTTAATTGCATTCCCTTTGCGCTATCTTTTAGTAATATTCTCTCATAAATTGGATAATAATTATCAGAAATCGATTCTTTGAATTTTCCGCAATCTTTTATATGTGAATTTCGGGTTCTTTTTACCTAAAAGTATAAATATATAAATAATTTGAATTTTCAAGAATTGATTTAATTCTTACATTTTGTCTGCCGTTAGCGTCGGTATAAAATTCTTTATTATTTTGTAGATTAGTATCGAATACAACGATAACTTCTTTGCCAATATTGTCACCGACAGGAATCGGCCCAACAGTCCAATCGATTTCCACATATTCTTCGTCTTCATAGACCCGAATGGTCTGTGATATCCAATCATTCCATTTCTGTTGCACTTCACTAACGGATCCATTGCTATAAATTTTCTCTAATTTAACAGAATCTCTACTTATATCGACTGCTTGTCCTTCGGAGCAGAAGTCATAACTCGAGTCATGATTTGATTTATAAAATTTGAACGATTGTTTCAATGGGAACTCATTTCCGTTAACCATTTTAATCTTTTCAATATTTCCTGTCTTTTGGTCTAAACTTATTGTAAATCCTTTTCCTTTCAATTCTCCGTTTGATTTTGTATTTTCTTCTTTAGGATTGTTTGCATCAATAGGTTTGTCTAAAAAACAATTTAACATTAAAACCGTTTACTCTATTGACTGTCAATTATGTAAATTTCTTACTCGACTTTTTGATAAAATACGTAACGAAACCAAGTTTTTCAAGATTTGCTTTGAAAACCAATTCAAATTTTGCGGATCCACTTCTGCCAGGAATTTGCATCACTCTCTCAGAGATGGGAACGATGTGTAAATCACTGACTTTATTGCCATTGCTATCAAACACTTCATAATTACTATTAGAAGGGATCGGAATTCTTAGCCATTGAGAGACCGGCCGTCCGATAGGATTGTAGACAACGAGCGTAAACTCAT